CGATAGGCAGAGGTCGGGTTCGAATCACGGATCTTCCGGTCAGTAAATTCGCGCTCTTGGTCCATCTCGCCCCAACACGGTATAGACCTGCGTCTAACACTGCGAGGATCTAAATGTTTCCGAGGCGTTCGCCCACAGGCAGTGAATACGTTGACGACATCACCTTTTCTGGACGACATGCGAGCCACCTTGAAAAACCTAAACAATTCTGCCTGACGACCCCACATGCGCTTCACACCAGCAGACCATAAAGTGCCACTGCAGTGAGATCAAACCTCGATTCGATGCTGGTAGAGGTGGTGGACAGCTTCGTCTAATTGGACAGTTGCACAAGTTCTAAATAAAGACGAGCGCAGCGTTAATCAACCTCCGACATTGGTGGTAATGACATGGTAATAGTTTAACCGATCTACATGGACCGAAGTCGTGTCCACAGCGTACACGTCTTTGTACTATCATTGCGTTTCACCATCAGTGTCTCCATGGAATGGCGCATGTCTGATGAGAACAGCAGGTTAGTAATGTTGTGGTAAGCCAGAACGCGTTCAGCAAACGTAGTCACCTTCCATAGGTGATGCTGTTTGGGTGCTCGCACAGCAGAACACAATTATCTGCGTTGGACCTCTGAGGTGCAGAAATATCCGTTATCCCATAGAGTGATCACTATCCTTATCACTGACGCCCCAACAGTGTTGAGCAGTGATGTCTAGCCGCCATACAATTTTTTTAGGATAGTGGGACAACGCGGACTAGTATAGATTTGTCGGCATGCAATGCAGCGGTAATCAAGCTATGCAACATGCCTCCGAGTCTTATGTGCTCTAGTACTCAAGCCAAGTAGTCAGTCCAGAAAATTCCAATCAATTATGCCTCAAGAACCAAAACTGCGTATCGCGAGTAACACTGACGTACGAATATCCTAAACTGTCAGAGTTAGACAAGCATCAACATCTACCTTCCATAGATCAACAAAGTGACGATCTCGGATGGAACAGCACAGTATAGGACCAGCGCATGTTTTCGAACAACAGCACTTATTAACGAATATACACTCATTTGCAAACTAATTTGGTTTTTCGAGAGACTCACCCGAAACCCAGCTGAATCTCACGTTTGTGATGTTTTTAGGCAACTGAATGTGCTGCACCAGGCAGCCTCATGTTTCAGTCGCTACGATATTCGAGACATCGCGACACATGTATATCTTTGTAATGTAAGGCCTGATGCGGCGCATTCAGTTGCCTGAAAACATCACAAACGAGAGATTCAGCTGGGTTCCAGGTGAGTCTCTCGAAAAGCCAAATTACTTTGCTAGTTTTGTGCAATTTGGTTTCAAGTAGCACATAAGGTTGACGGAAAACCGGGGACTGCGCCTACCTGATGAGCCCCAAAAATGGACGAAACCGGTCGTGGGCTGTCGACGGATTTTCAGCAACCTTATGAGTAGCACATGACAAAAGCAGCACTTATTGTTCAGTGTCACTTGCAAACAAAGTATCTTGTAAGCGCCGTTGCTTGAGGTCGCTCCTTCTCATTGTAAGCGTCATGAGCTGTTCATAGGTTCTGGATCTCTTACTCCAGTTTATCAGCATAGTTTCCACCAATACATAACCAGAAACTGAGCTGCTACAATTTAATCCTGAAAACGTTCTTTGACGTAAGTTGGTTTAAACAAGCAAGGCGAGGCAGCACAGTGCAAATCCCGATGAGAGATGACAAAGTGCTGAGACAGACTTACCTGTGCCAGTCGTTTCTTTTCGGTGTCATATCCAGGTAATTCACGACGACCAGCAGACAAGATAAGCCACCGCAGATTCCGCACATTCCATCGGAAAAGACTGCTGGAACTCTGTCGCTGGAATTCGAATTGGAAGAAAAAAACGATTAAAGGGGCAATGCGACGTGGTCAGTAGACAGTAAATAATGAATCAACTATCATCCGAACCGATTCGCAGCCGCACATCAGGAGGTATTCCATCAACAAGCCAGAGAAGAGACTTTTCGGTGCCTTGCTGGATAATAGTATGTAACATTGGGTAGGATTTCTGGGACAAAATCAGAGCAGCTGGTTTGCTGGAAATAAAATCAATGACTATTCAGGGGCTGTGGACATCGCATAGATATCCAAGACGCGAAACCCATGTTCAGGCACTAAGTGCTCTGCCCTTAAGTAGCTCCGTTAAGTACAGTAGCATAGAGTAGTAGCTAATAGCCTTGCTGATTACCCACGAGTAGGGGGAGTAAGTTATGGTACTTACTAACCGAGAAGATCATTGAACATCACAGCGAAATTAACCGCTAGACCAAATTATTCATAAAAATGCCTCGAAGCACCGTAGAATCTAATCCAGTAGTTGAGCTATGAAGAAAATTTTTAACATTGTAACACTTGAATTTCACGACCGGAACCCTAGAACAATGAAACTACCTTTTTGTATTCATCCTTCCACTCGACCGGTGGCCAAACATAAGTGTTGACTGGTGGTAACGAAGCGGGGAGTAGCACTTCATCACCGGATTGGACAGACTGAATGTGCGTATTTCGGATCAATGAATAAGGCTGCGCTGTGGATACTGTGCCACGAGAAAGCAAGGCCCGCTGCTGCACGAGTTTCTTTCGCACATCAGCTATTCTTTTGTCTAAAGCTGCCAACTACAAGAAGAGAAAAGATTTCGCAGTGAGAGAGAACACATCAAAAATATACCGTGCAGACATCACACAGATGTCTGGTTCGTAGACATAATATAGCGCAGGACAATCAAACTGAGCCAAAACTTCGTTAGTGATGACACCCAAAAGGTATTCATTACTACACTAGCCATTTCCGGCTGCACCTTTGCTGTTGTATGGTCGAAAATACTGGCGACCAAAAATATCATCAAGGTGTGATCAGAATAGGATGATTTTCAATGCCAGTACCGCAGTTTAATCGACAGGAGCCAGACAGATATTGTGACCGCCCCTAAGACAGGACACAAAGTTGATCTGAGTCGTACTCTCGTGCAACGTATTCGGTATACTGAACCGTGAAAAAGTCTGAGATGCCTTTTTGATACCAACGTAGCCGGAGGTGTTTGATTAATTTTCCAATCTTCATTGATATTGTCTGAATGTCCCAGATTTTGACTTGATTATTTGATACAACAGTCCCTAATGAGCTCCCACCAAGAGAGGCCACTTCACAATCAGGACCACCTTACTCCGGTCCAGTGAGGTCCAGACTTTTGACACAAGTCTCAAATGAGAATACCCGAGAAACGACTCACATCCCAACAGATAAGATAGTCGTTCAGGTGTAACACCCTTTCCATGCCCTAGCTACCATGCCACTCGAAGGAAGCACGAGGTTGCCCAAGCCTAGATGGGGGGAAGTCCAGATGCAGAGGTCTGATTCGAACCACGGACTTTGTGGTCGGTAAGTTCGGGCCCAACCCACTGAGCTTCCAAACAAAGATCACGCAGCAAGACTGCCGTTTGGGGCACTCTATATTAAGACATCAAATCAGCGGGAGTAACCGCGTTCATACAAATTTGTTTAGAATGTGGTTAAGGTTTCCAAAATATGGTCGCACAAAAACAGACTCCGTTTTCCCTCCAAGAAAGTTATTGTCCCGAAGGGATTACAGTGGAATTCATGACCAGGTCGACATATCAAAGTCCACTTTTGATAATTCGCTAAGATACAGGAACCAGATAATGCACATAAGAACGAGAGGTCTAAAGTAACGTGAAAACTGCGATAAATCTAAGGACCAACACAGTCGTATTATTCACAGGGACATTTCCGAAATTTCCTGTGCACTCGAGGTTAGCTTGTCAGCTTGTCTCAGCTTGTCACCCCTTAACACGTAGTGTACGGCAGCATCACCCTTCCTATTTTATACATAAAACGCGAACGCTAAGACAAGGATCGCTAAGAAATATCTCACACACAATGATGAAGGGTATTATTGAGTAGTATCCCTGAAGGAGGTCCCACGAAAGAAATACCACTATTTCGAAATTTTCATAGTTTTGTTTTAAATAATGTATGAAGTCACAGTTTTCCTACGAATTTTCTGTTCTAGGGAGACTACTTGAAAGCATCGATTAGAATTAATCCCTTGTGAAAGACTGTCCATGTTTTAATCCAGGAAAACCACCAGCTGATCAGTACTCCGAACTTGCCACCCAATGCGTGTGGGTGGACAGAGCTCTTCGAAATGGTTTGTATCCGTAGTTGAGTAGTCTGGATGTGGTATCAGTGACATGAGGCAACTTTCGGCTACGTGAACCGTGGTAGTTTGTGCTGCTCATGGTATAGCGTGGACCTGAGTGGATCTTATGGTTTAGGGCAATACCATGTACTGGTTGCCATTCCTGATTGTTGGGGGAAGCGATGATTCTTAGATACGTCGTGTATGGTGCCCTAGGACAAGTCGGTCATGTCCGGACTATCTGAGTTCCCAAAAATCCTCTAAAGAATGCGTTAGTTACAAAGTCATATTTTGATCGAAAGTCCCTTTTGGGCGAAAGAATGGAGATCGAACGAGATTATTCCGGTTTCGGGATAGTATAATTACGAGATATTGTGCTCAAAGGAAGTTTATGTGGTGCAATACTCCAGAAAATAAGCCGGATTGATCAACAGTGTTGACCAGTGTCATCACAGACAAAAGCTAACTCAGCTAAAAGGGGTGATCTATGCACTCTTGGTGTAGCCGTGTGTTGGATGGCCTACTTCGGAGGCGTTTGCTTGATTGGCTGAATACGTTTCGCTTCAAGACGGTACAGAGACACCACAATATGGGAGGAAAGTGATAAAAAATAGAAGCTGGTAGTGAGGGCTACAGCTGCTGAAGGAACCAGATAGCACTATCGAGTTGAAGAGAGTTGAATATGAAACAGCAAGGGATATATGACCACTTCACACTCCTCGCTTCTAAAACAGACAACTACGTGGAAGATATAATATTCGACGAGGAAGTTAGCTCCACAGTTTACTGCGACGGAGTTGTGACCGAAAGAGTTAATCAACACAACAAAACGTTCGGAACGAAACTTAGGTTCATAGACCGTTAGTATTCACCATAAAAATTGAGTATATCCTCAAACCCGACTGACTAGATGTAGCTCACAGGGTTTCTGAAAAGTATTCGACAGCCCACGATCGGTTTCCCCTCCTTGGGGGCACAGCCCCCGAGTTTCCGCTAACCTTATATTTTATTGGAACCCAAATCGGACAAATTTCGACGAATACACTCATTTGCAAATCAATCTGGCTTTCACGGGAGGCACAACTGAAACGATAGATTCAGTTGCTATGCTACCAGTGAACATACGATAGACTCAAAACCCAACTAATTGCGTTCGTGTCTGACCACCTTTGGAGGCTGTATAAATCACGCATGTGTGAAGAGAGGTTTGTTCCTAAAAAGGAAAACAGATAATAGAACCATACCTCAGATCGGACGGATGCGGCTTGAGCTTCCGCTTCTCTCAAACGCTCAGTGGCGTCTGTAACAGCTTTGTTTAATGCAACCTGAGCTTCAGTTGGTGCGCGGGCTTGCAGAGAAACGAGCCTGTTGGGAGTGGACGAGCAGGCGCTCTGTTGTGGCAAGACAAGTCGTGGTCTAAGAAGAACCGCGGCGGAGCGCGACTCATCGTTGGCATGTGCCGTTTTCGCCATTGAACGACGACTTTGCTGAAGTGTGGATGTATCCGCGGGCGGCTGCGACTGCACAACAGGAGCAGGTGCTGGATCGCCTGAGAATAGAAGACAACGGGGATGAGAATGACGCTTACTAAGAAGAAAAGGAACAGGTTTGAGATTCAATGCATTGCAAGGCAATCGCCGTGAAGAACGGATCGGTTGTTGAAGCATAAGAGATGTGGGCGCAATACTCTCAACAAATGTGTTTAAATCTACAAGACAATACCAACCCTGAGTTTGCTCGCGTCCTGCCGTAAGCAACTCGAAAAGCAGACATTTCCTACCTTGCATATTAATTGCCAACTCTCATCACAGTCTTTTGGTAAAGATAATTTGCACTGATCTACAAACCTACAAAACACAGATCTTCCCAAACATATACCCAACGCTACAATACATCGCCCAAATATAATTTGACAACTTTAGGATCCGAGTTCGAGACGAGCGTGTTACCACCATTGCACCAGTGCATGCTGGAGCAGGTCCTAACAATGAACGATATGAGTGAAACTCTTCGCAGATTGTAGACTAGTTATTGTTTTCCAGCTGATTTGCGGGTATATAAATGAAACACATGCCACCAGACGATCGGACAACCTCTCCCATATATAATTCCTTAGGAATCCAATAAACGAAGTGGGATGTTCCGGTGTGAATACCAAAAACTAAATACATGACGAAGTCGAGAATTTTTCTGGGGGAAACCAACTGAAAGAACTAACCACAAACAATTTTGCGCGCGGTGCTAGCGGCCACCACGCTTGCTATTGACTGCGACTGAGGAATTGTGAAGTACTTGACTTCATTAGGGAGTAATTGACCAGGGGTGGATACAGTGGCCAAGGTCCGTCGGAGGATGGCTGGCTGAGAACGTGCTACATTGGAGAGGGGTGCAGACAGGTTGGTAGTCACAATGGTCCCCGTGGAGTCGATAGCCTCGGCGGACGTTGGGATGGCTGTAAAATGATAAACCAGAATTTAACAAAAGCTAACAGACAGGTACCATTGGACAAGGAAGACAGAAAGAATCCCTACCGGAAACAGGGGTGGTTGTTAGGACAACAGGAGCCGAGCCGGAAGTGGACGTGGGGGCAGCAGATAGGATAACACGGATCGGAGTCGAGCCTGACAACGTCACTGGAACGTTCAATCGATTACCGGTGATGTTTGACGGGACGAGGTTTTGCAGAGTTCGGATAACCTTGCCATCTGCTATACGTATAGGACCTGCGGCAATCAGTGACGTTGCACCCGAAGGCAATCGAAAGTTCTGAGGAAGAACTATAGGGCCCTGAATCGCTGGTGTGGGGCTGACGGCAGCTGTGGATTTAGGCGATTGGTTGAGACCAACAAGCTGTAAAGAAAGCAAGATGATTGATACAAATACACTGAACAGAACCGTGGGCTACGTTGACCTAGTGATGCGTTTCTATTAGTGTCTTCACTGAGAATATATACAACGAAAGTCCCACTTCAATGCACTGCTCCTCGGAGGAAACACTGTCAGAGGAGGCGATTTGCGGGGCACACTTTCCTTAACTGCAACACCTCCCCGTTCGAGAAAAGAAATACCGTGGAAGACTCTACTTCTTGTTCACCGAATGGTCCCTTTGCTCCTCGAGTGGATAGCACTGCACTGAAAATGCCGTGTTCGGTTGCTCAACAGGAGCTTCGTTCCGAAAATGTGTCCAACACTAAAAGCTATGGTGGCTTGGTTGTGTAGTTCGCATGCTTAGCTGTCGTGCGCGAAGGTATGCTATTTTCCGTATCCAATTCAATGGTTCAAGTAGAGCGCTATCTTGAAAGCGACCACGGCTTTTCAGATGGGGCCCGCGTGATCCTTCCTCTGCTTGGCTGGAGATGCCACAAGATGCCAATAGCGCGCTTGATGTTAGCTTCTACCCATATTGTCTGAAACAACGAATCGCCCCAGAATGTTTGTAATAGGCTAGAACTAGGTCCTTTTTATTTCACATGTTACCCCCCTTCGCAGTGAGACTCTCGAACAACGAAGACACCATTGATGAACTCAACACTTCCTGACTGAGCCCTGGGTAAGCGTTATTCGTTGGGGTAATTCATGTCGCAATGCTGACCGAAGGCGACAAAGTGAAAAATGGGGCGGAACCACGCACAGTCGATCGATGTCGCAATAATTACCACTGTTTTGCTGACGGTACAAGAATACTGCTTCAGAATAAACAGGCCAGTTTGATAGTAGAACGATATGGTAAAAAAACTACCAGAACAAGATGGCCCAGGTTCAGGGTGCTGTGTCAACCTGTAATCAACACTGGCATTCAAGTGTAGTGGGATCTGGAGCATTCGCCCCACGTGAAACAGATTTTCATCCCACTCTGATGGAACCTGTCTGAAATACATGAATAGAAATAGACTCTCACCACCGCATTTCACACACGGATCAACCTCCAACAAACCCCACGAACGTGAGTCCCAGTAAGCTTTCCACGAGAAAAAGAGCACTGTGTAAATAAAGCACCGGTTCTCTACGAGAAAAGCAGTCCCGACCGAATCAAAGAATCGGCCGATTTGGCCCTGGTTCTGAAACGTCCGCAACCTGAGTTTTGTGCGGATGGAGGCGAAGGCAAACTGTTTTCGGATGCACGTATCAACTTCCTCACCTGTGTGATCGGGACAGTGCTGTTGGAAATTGTGATGGAAAGAGACAATGGATCCAGTGTTGTTGGCGCATGGTCTCCAGATTGAAGGGTTTTTTGACAAACCTGAGATTGCGCATAATCTGGGCGAGGAGATAAAAGAGACGACGTAAGAGTTACATGACACCATTAGTAATCGAACAACATCGATTAGGAGAATCTTACGCTTTCAAAGGTCGTAAATGGGCAAGCAAACTGAGATGCAAAACAGTTGAGGGGAAGCCAGTTACAAAAAATCAGACCGATTGGTGGGTTCTTCACCAACGCTTCCAAAGTTGTTCCTCAACCTTTTGGTGCATTTTATTTTGTTTAAGCTGACAAAACGCTGACTCACCTGTCGTTTAGCGGTCACACCAATAAGTAGTGGGCGATCTTGTTCCTAGTGTGCAAGCTCGAGATAGCTCAGTGACTTGGGTGCGGCTGAACGCAAGGTCCGTGGTTCGAACCCAACCTCAGCATATCGATTGCTCCTACCTGAGCCTGTCTAGGCTTAGGTAGCCTGACAGTATCTCAGTATTCGTGCTTCCTTCGGGTTGCATGGCATCCGGGCACCAAAAGGGTGTTACAACTGAACGATTGTTATTAATAATCCATAATATGCAATCAGGATAGGTTACGCTGAAGCTAATCGTTCGGGCACAAATGAATAGCAGCCATCACGTGAGCGACATAACTGAGATAGATTTATGATTTAGTTGAAAGTAATATGGGTTGTTTGTCGCGTTTATTGTCGTTTTGGTCCGCTTCATCACACGTTCACGGCGGTTGCAACGGTGTTCCAAATTCCAAGGGTATATTAGACGGATATGTGTTCAGAGCCGAATGAACTAGTCATCGGAATACCTGCGCATTAGGGTGTCCTATGAACTGGCGAAAAGTATTTAAGGCACCACATTAACCTAGGACGTATCCTTCCACCTCCACAGTGCCTAGTCGCACTGACAGAGTAGGGAAGCCCGGGTATTTTGTTTTACTCGAAAGAAATATTTGGTCGGGTAGCAAGCAATGTTGAAACATCTACCAAACGCATTTTGGTGTTTCGTTCCGATGACACGTTAAGGACAAGTCAGAGTGCCCAAATCTTATAGAAAGCGTTATACACGACGTCCGACTGGTATTCAACACATTGTGCAGCCCCCGTGGATATATGCAGGAAGCGCCAGATTGAGAAAAACCAGTCCGAACAATGAAGCGGCGAGAATAATAGTTCCACAACGAGCGATGGACAATTACAAGACAGCATAGCTCTAACTCAGAAGCAGGAGGGGGCACCAGAACATTTACTGCCACGTTTAAATTTGGTGAAACCATCACTACAACAATAAAGTGGGTGATAAGTTTCGAAGTCGAAGCTGATCAGACTGCGTTTTCTGGAGGTACTTGAACCAGAGGGTGGATATCAATAACGCACGTCGATTGAAGAAAATGGTTGGCAGGATATAATCAAAACGTACCCTCAGTGGCATCAACACTTGTTACGATCATTGTCGGGTCGCCGTTCACAGGCAGTCTTACATTGGTCACCTGTTTCGAGACTGCCACATCACCAGCTCGAACAACGCGCAAAATACGATGGCCAGGAAGGTCCGGACTCGAGATGACTTGGAAAGTTTGTTTATGTGTAGAACTTGTACCAGCTGGAACGGTTGAATCAGCTGGTACCTGTCAAAGAGCAGCCAACATGAAAGCATGAGGTTAGAAAAACAGATAAAAATGACGTTCCAAATAAACTGACCAGTAAGTTTTCTAATGAACAAATAAGTGAAAGCACCATGAGAAAAGGTGAGCAGCTTTGGGATATGAGGTTAAACAAGCGAAAGGGCTTAGAGATCAAACGGATCGCAACACTTGCCCAGAATCATGCCAACAGGGAATTATGTTCTTATTAGCGAGACAAACCGTAGACCGTCGAGGTTTTCAGCAACCGCACAAGTAGTGTGGTTAGTCAAGAAACTTTACCCCAGTTACTACAATTTCAAGACACAGCTTGTTGGGTACGATTATGTAAACTAACCATTCGCCTAAAACGCCACAGAAATGTTACTCCTATTTCTAAGGGTGAGCTGAACGTCGGCAGTAAACTGCTGATGAGGTTAAACAAGCGAAAGGGCTTAGAGCTGAACGTCGGCAGTAAACTGCTCTACGGACGGATCAACCTTTTCCATCAATGCCGTATGACATCAAGAAACACAAAGGTAGGAGCGGGTTTCTGCTAAAAGCCCTCGTTAAACCCATTCATGCTATGTGATCATATAGTGTATACATGACGTCCTCAGAAAGTAGATAAATATAGGACTGAGGCGCCAACGGACGTGACGCACGGCAACGAGGCACCAGTGTCAACAATGATGTTGCTGTGTTTGATGATATGATGATGGCGTAATATGTGGGGAGTTCCGCGCATGTTAAAATATTAAGATGAACTAAATATCCAGGATAATGAACGCTTCAGTAACCAAGAAAACACATCAATCGTCAGGACAGATAGTTCGATCACTCAGCACTCATCGGCCCGTCTCAGCAATGTGGCGAGCTAGGGTTTCTACATATCCATGTTCGATTCGCGACCACCATATTACAAAAGAAGCCGTGTTTTTCACCCCAACCCCTTGTTAGGGAAAGTTCGTGGAGGAGAAATGACGACACAACATTGCGAAGTGAAAGCCGTTACTGTCAAGTTGAACGCTGCTGGATCCTCGCGTGTTACTAAATGGGATGCACCTGATTCTCCCTCCGCTACATGCCAGTTACTCAAGTCAAGTGGCGAGCTTGCTGCCACTACAGGGTCGAAATGTCTAACCAACTCCTGCTAACCGTCGTATGTTGGGCGAGGACGTGAGATTCGTCCGGGTGATGGTGTCCTGCTAAAGCACAATCCTAAACTATGTCCATTTCAACGGTTCAGGAAAGCTCAAGTAACCTTTTCCCCAGGAATACATAGAGGTTTGAAGTGAGTTCTCATCCACCCTTCGCCTTTTTCAGAGGCTTTTTATCCCCAAGGTTGTACGGCAGTTCCATTTCTGGTGCGTTGCTGTCCGTAAAAATGACCATTGCGAAGCATGCCAAGATGACGGGGCATAGAAAAGTGGATTCGAGCGACTCAGTGAAGCATCGTTTGGAACTAATTTACTGTCCCCAGGTGTCTGTAATTCAAAAACACTTTAAAGCATGATCTCAGCAGAGCGAAAGTCGGCTATCAGTTCGAATCCTGTGTGGATGTGTAAACTACCCTCAGGTACATACTTGTGATTGGCCGCCTGTATTCATTTCTTGAAGATTTTAAATGCGAAGCTGCGTAATACAAGCGAACGTGAGGCAACGGCATTCAATATTGGTGTGGTTGTCGATGATACCGTTGGTGATTCTTTTAACCTGAGACCACTACTGAGGCTGAATGACCTACTAAAGAATGTAACTGAGGAGAATAAGCATATCAGTGGGGGTGTGTAAGTTGTTCCAATAGCCTCAACTGTATCTCTTTTTGTCGTCTGTGTTCAAAAATAATACAAGGCGTTGTGCTTGTGTTCCCGGCGTGAAAGAAGCAGTAATCCCTTCGATGGCTAGGACAGTGGACTTAGCTGATTTACACGTCAAATGATTATGGCCCTAAATCCTATCCCTAGTGAAACAAACCAATTGCTAATGAACACAAACAAGGCGAATCGGGACCACGCGGATGCGAATATTCAACAGCGTTAGGATTGAAGAAGTGCTGGAACAAAGAACAGATTGGCGCAACCACTGAATTTGGCAACAATGGTAGGGGACTTCTAAAATACTCAACTTACAACAGACTCCGATGATTCCAACTGGTTCACTTGTTCGACCTCAGCATTCCCGGCCTGTTCTATCGGGTCTGTAGAGGCGGCTGTACCAGTGGGAATGACAACTATCCCGGGTTCGTTTCCTGCATCACTGGATTCCTCATCACCTGCTCCGTCAAACTGAGGAATTGTACGACGTGGAGGTCGCGAGCGGCCTGTGTCACCAAATTCATCTGCACTCTCTGTCCCACCCCCGTTGTCTTCGCCCTCTTCTTCATTTTCCTCGTCATCATCATCATCAAAGTCAACCACGAAGTCAGGGTCACGGCGAACTGCCTTTTGTTTTCGTGAGCTCCGGCGCAGTTGCTGACTAGTGTTCACAGTAGCAATGTTAGTAAGGATGAAGAGAAAGCGGAATAAATTATCATAGTACTGATAAGTGAGGTGTGAATCTAGCTTGTATGAAACTTCATTTGTCTACTAGTCTACAATGAAGTTACATTTGAGCTTAAACAAAACAAAGGCAGTCAACAAGCACAAATGGCATGGATTCGTACCCTATCGAGCCACCACCGTCATCATCTCCAGAGCGCACTTGTGCAGGCTTGCTTGGAGGGCGTTTGGGCTGGAGGTCATTTGTTCTCTGATACAAGGCAGTGCAATGCTGCTTGTCAATTCTTGGAGCAATGACTCTGAGAAGGAGAAAAATAACAAAACAGATCATATTGAGCATCTAAGCTTGCAGACGAAGTCTAGGATACAGTTCGAAGTATGCTGCGACGGGTTAGACATATGAGCAAAACAAATAGAGCGTGCGTGGTGAGTGCTGGAATGACAGGGATAAGTATCATTCCAACAGAGAGGACATACCGGAATCGAGGCCCATTTCCGAAGTCAAGGACAGAATGTTGAATGAGGGGTTTGGTCATTGGCTGTAAATTGGTGCCTGTTTGGTTCTGAGCAGATACGACTGGTCCAGCGCTGCTGACTGGCCCTTTGGATACAAATGACGGAATACTTTTGGCGCTATCAGTCTTCTCTTTAATAGCACGGGCTTTGGCAGTTCGCGCTTCCTGTATTTCGGCACTCAAAGAGGAGAGTCGTTCCGTAAGCTCTGCTCGCTGCTTTTCCAAATCTATCATTTCCGTTTCGAGTAAGTGAATAGAAGCCTCCGCTTCTTGGGCGGCGTGCTTATCAGTATCCGCAGCAAATTGGCGGCGGGCAAGAAGTCGATCGAGACGGTATCGCAGGCGACGGGAACGTAACGATGGGCTGATGGGTGGTCGCACAACAACAGGGGGAAAATGAATACGTTCTTGTAGGCACTGAAATGAAAAAAAAACAGATGTAGTTAGACGCTCATTGTTCAAAGTAGATTTGAACCACAAAATATCAAAGTTGAGTCTGTGTAGCACCCATACGTTTATGAAATTGATGAACTTGGGTAGTAGTAGTAGTACCACGCACTCACATAAGACACGTTTAGAACCGGGGATGTAACACAGTTCGTCCGATTTAATGAGTCCGGGCTTCGTTCGTCAGTATGAGCATCGGCGTCCACGTGTGTTTTACTGTCTTGATGTTCAGTCTTAACTGATGGAGAAGTGTCACCTGTTACTGCAATTTCTGCACTCTTGGCGACTGGTTTCTCAACTGGCCCTTCCAAGGGGTCAGCTGGCTCCGATCTTGTCTCTCTAGGTGTACCATCGGGCTTCGTGAGTGAGTCGGGGGAGAGACGTTGTGCTAATGCTTCTGCTTGAATACGAGAAAGTTCCTCAACAGGAATAACGTACGAAGTCCTTCGAGGATTCAAATATAATGGGATACCTGTAATCGGATGCAGAACGTGACCACGACATTCGCTGGGTTTCGGAGGCTTGATGGGAACTTCACCCTGAAATTCACAGAAAACGAAGGGTTGTGTGAGAGCATCTGTGCAGAAACCCAAAACATGCATACAATGCTTCCCCTAAAGACCGGTCAAAAACACACTCATCGAGAGCGCACTCTTTCGAGCTCACTGGTTATAGCGCGAATTTACTGAGTAGAAGGTGAGCGGTGCGAACGCGACCTCTGCTTCTCGACTTCCCTGTCTGAGCTCGGGCAACCTGGCAGTATCTCATCCCTTGTGCTTACTTCTGGTAGAATGGCAGTTAAACACCAAGAGGATGTTACAGCTGAACACTTTCGAGGGGTTATATGCCTTTAACCCATACGGATGAAAGGAAGAAACACACATAGAAGCAGTAATTTGTGGTTTCACTCGGACATAAGCCGCATTATTCTTTGGAGTTGGAAGAACTTATCCAAATAAATCTTGTGAAATTTAAGCAAAATCTGGTCCTTTACGCACTAACTTCCCCTGCCTTTTCGTGGACCATGAAACCAAGGAGGGACATTTTTTCAACAGTTTTTCCCCGCGAAACTGGTCGAAGATTTCTGATATCAGCGTCAGTATATCTACCGTGTCCTTAGTTAAGTTACACCCGATCCAAGAAATCACCGAGTTCAATTGTTACTATCAAAACGTCGCTCAGCTGGTTTTCTGTGATGTCAAAGTTGTGTTATAGGGTCTATTTTGACGCGTTCATTATCAGATTGTCTTCTTATTAGGAAAACGACTTCAGTTCTATTGAACCAAGGTGCTTACAAGACCCGTGTCAAAAGTGAACCCAAACTTGTTACCTGATACCCCATGAGTCAGCGAATAAGCTGGTCAATTACCTCAAAAACACGTGCTTAAAAGACTACAAGACCACCATCCATCTCGTTTAGCGCTCCTTCATCAACATCAACATCGTCATCTTCATCATCATCATCAGCTGTAAGAACTTCGTACTTGTCGTACAGTGGTTGTAGCTGTCAAAATTTCGTCCAAAGATACCGATTTGATCGATTCTATCACCGACCGCTGTAGAGAGCCCATACCACATGAGAGAAATCCCGTCTCCAAGAGACCAGTTTCCAAAACTCGAGGAACCAGCAATTTGCTACCTTTACGACGAGATATGTCACACACATAAATAGGAGGCCAATACGCACAAACCGAATGCCTGTACCAGCTAAGCTATCTCTTAAATCACTCGACAGTCACCACCAAATTTGCGTCAGAGTTCTACACGCTGCAACGGTTCTTTCCAACTGAGGTTCACATTGTATCAATAATCATCGGATATTTCCTTGGGGGAAAATTATATGGCATTGAGCTCAGTTTGCTCAACGGCTGATGACACTTGATGCCTTTAAAAGACAGCAAAGAGTCATCAAGTGCGTTTCTATCAGGCCCTGATTCAATCCGGTTAACTTAAGCCATTAATCCCTTGGGGGATCAAAGCCAGATCATATGTGGGGAAAATGGGTTGATTGAGAGATGAGTACGTATCACACTTATTCACTTCGCTCCGAACCACACTCATACGTGAACGGAAATACACTATACATCCTTGCTCTCTCCGCTAGTCCTATCGGAATGATTTTTTGACTGGGAGTGGTACCGATAAGAGTTTACGAAACCTGAACTGCTAATCAGTTGTTAACCACACAGGTACAACAAATTGACAGTTGCAGAACAACTATTTACCTGTAGATATTCTGGACAGACACCCCAACCGATCCCATGTTGCAGACCGCGCTTAACAGTCGGACGGGATGTACCGAATTGCAACGAATCTGTTGTACCCTCGCGAACGACCTGATTAAGTCGCGGATAGGCAGTAGCCACGAGATGAACTTCTTCCGCAGGTGCCCGACGCGTTGAGCTCAGCCACATCCAACCATCACCGCCCAGCCGGCGATATTCCTCTCCACGATACTTCCACACTGAGTGACGTATAGGACCAGGGTTACGAGTTCTAATGAGGTTCGCTGGTACATTTGCTGCTGCTGTAGATCCAGCATGATTTGCGCTGCTCGTTCCAGAGCGATCAATCTGTCGGATACGCCGGTCTTCTTCACGCTGTGCCATCGTGGTTCGTTCGTATGCGATATGGCCTGATTGAGTTGGAGAAAGGGAAATGCATCGTAAAGGTAAAACTGTTCAGAGGCAAAAATGTGATTTGGCCTAATAACATTCGCAGTCGACTGATGTCAAACAGTTTTTAATGTCCAAGGGAGGATGATACCTCAAACCACGAAACTCTCCGTATGACGCACAGGTTGTCGTCCGGAGTCTAGAAGTCACCAAGATGATACACTAAAAAATGCATGTTACTGAAAAATAAAACAGCCTATTTATGCAATGTGATATTGTAGACAGGAACTACTGTCGCCCACCACAAACGAATGTTCAATCTATCGCATAAAATGCTCTGTTGCTCAACCACATTCAGCTGTAACACCCATTTTTTGCGGCGACGCCATGTGAAGGAAGCAAGAGGGCTGAGATACTCTCAGTTTGTCTAGGCTTAGACAGGAGCAGTCGAGATGCAGAGGTTGGGTTCCAACCATAGAATCTTTAGTCAGCAAGTTCACGCCTTAACGATTGAGCTAACTTGAACTCAACTGCAATCGGCCTAGCTTAACAAGAGGTAAACCATAACAGAGTTTCACCGGAACAGACACTCTTCGAATCGACACCCGTCCTGAATCTGTGGAATGCATATTAGTACAGTAGATTCTTTGCCAGGATTTCGAGTGAGTGCGAACCGGACTTTGTAGTGGGATTTTCGTGATAGATTATTTCTCTATTATGGATCTCTGTCAGAATCTCCCTGCAGTGAAAAATAGTTCAGTTTTACAGAAGCTCCCCCTTGGAGAGGCTATCCGTCAAAGGAGACCATTTTTGGCTGGTCTCCTAAAGCACATTTCCCTCCGGAACTGGATGGTCCATTTAGGTGTGAGAAGGCGCCGGTAACCAAGACTGACAGTAAACTAAATTCGGCCTTATTAGAAATCAGCCTAGATAATACGTCACATCGTGAAGCTCACCTATTGCATTGGACCACACTCGTTGATAGCACACAGGACGGACTGATGCTTCGAACTGTGCCAGCGCATCCGCCAGTTGAATCGGATTAGACGCGCGCAAAACGGTTTCTATCCATTGGTTGCGAAAACAGCGCCAAGCGGGAGTGTAGAAGCAGGTCGGTAGCTTACGGATACCAAAATAAAAAAAAGGAAGAAAGCAAAAGGCGGAGCATGAAAGCCTTATCACAACTGAACGGAATGGAATGGGTGTGGCACACCAGAATTCCAGCTTACCTGAGCTTCAAAGTAGCACATGGTCAAGCGTAGCACATCAAACAAACGAGGCACAGTGGCAAACCACCCAGGTGAGAAGAAATCCTCCGCCAATTTGCATGGGACTTTCAGGAACTCCAGTGCTTCGGATAGTTGATAAGCAACTGCCGGTGGTTCCATATAACGCCACATATCCAACGCCAGGTCAGTCATGCTGAATTTGTTGCCCAGGAGACGACGACGCTCCTTTTCTTCCATAAACTGTTGTCGCGTGAGTATTATGTTAACAGAAGGGCCGGAATCCGTGTCAGTCTCGTCCGCATCAGTTGGGTGTTTTTTATCCAGAGATTCCGGAAGCTTATCTTTAGAACCGTTGGTTTCACTACCGGACCACACACCAGTCGTATAGGCGTTGGTCCAAGACCGCCAAGTCCCCTCATCGGACAGCCGATAGGCAACCAGCTTCGCACCCTTGGTCTGCGCGACGCCTGGGGGAAGACACGATGTGAGAGATAATTCCAGATGTTCGTTCTCAGTAAGGACAGTAGCAGGCGTCGGTTCAGTACTCTAAAGAGAAACAGGGTCAGTAAATGTGCGCACGAGATTCAAAGTTGAGGGGGGGGAATATCATTCACAATCTAAGGCTCCCGAATGTCAGTGAGAAATCCCTACTTTGAATAAAAGAAACCAGAAAAAAGGGTGGTTGAGGATACCGTGAGGTAAGTAGTGCGAACTAAAGCACGGATGACTTTCAAACACTTCATAATCACGTAGACCTGTTGGGGATGTCAGTATCCCCAAAAACTGCTTATTTTCCGAGTTATTACCAATTTATTTTCAAAAAATTTTGAATTTTTAAATTTCGCGCCTTTTCCGCCATGTTCCACCTCAATCCGTAAAGACCGCGCTCTTTTCCTATTGGCCAGCTATACTTTGTGTGCATTAACTGATTCTTCGCTTCCCAAGGTCGCTCGAAATATATATATACGACGTTGCTCCCACTGTAATTCGCCTTTGGTTGAGGCAGTAAAAGCCCTCTTCTGAAGGTCTGGTCTTCTTCTCTGTCTGTACTAGGAGTGGTTGGGCTCGCGTCATAGCTGGGGAGTTGTGCGCTCGTTCTCAGGTCGCGTATATCCGTTGATCGTACCCGATTCCGATACATATTGGCGAAGTTGATCCATAAAAGTGCAAGCGCACTGGACGAATAGCAAGCAACTGTCCCGTCTATAAATACGCGTACGGGGACAATGCTAACCACACAACTGAATAAGTTATCCTCCAATTCCCTAGTGTGAGCAACGAAGCCGAATCCACCATACCTATGCTTTTTCTGAGTGTCTTCTGACCGGGATGTTTGTGTCCCATCTGAATGAAAACATCTGAGTTTCTTGCTGCGCGTAATTGCAGATCCCTGAGGAGCCATGTTTCTCAGCACTGGAGATGCGGTCTGTTGAAGCGTCCGCTGACACAATAAACAAGGACCGTTAATCGCATCGAGTTTGCGCTGATCTTATTTGAGCCAAAATATGTATGATGTTCAGAAAACACCTCTGTCCGAAATGGAACCTAGTGGGTAGTTCTGGTAGACTTGTTTGACATCAGTGTCCGAGAGCTTCTCAATTGCCGGATGTGTGCACATTTTGCGCGTCCCTGAAACGCACAACAAGAAGCAGCAATGAAGAAGCATATGATCCGAATCTACATAGGTTCTCCAGAACGAACAGTGGTTCACCCACGCTATCTATGACTAATGACGATGAGACCTATCTCTGTTGCAGGTAGACTCGCATTCGAGTGGGGGCACTGTAGCCGAACGGCTTCGGTTGTTGCTGCACAGAAACAGTCCGCGGTGCACATAACTGCAGCTACAGCCCTGGACGACCACCCAATCGAGCTTAAACAGCGCTAATTCTACCAACTTACGCATTCATACCCCTAGCAACCACGATTTCTGGGCTTTAAGCCAGACGTGACAAGGCACCCAGAGCGTCATAGAGGCTATCTTTGAGCGTATCGGAGCTGTAGTCAGATGGGGCACAAACGGATACAGTAAACAGACAGCAATCATCGGCGTGTTTACGGGATAACCTCACAGACATTGCCACAGAGGCGACTGTCAACGGGCAACCATTCGACCGGAGACCCTTCAGCTCGGTGGCAATCAAACCTATCAGAATCATCAAAACTGGCTTCCGGATCACCGGAATTGAGCAACCAGAATCCAGTTCAAACCGATGGGGATTAAGTTCGACAAGCGTAATTGGGTTTCGACTCCTCGTTTCTGAAACACGCCAGTAGAAATCGAGTCCAGCGTATGTGCAAGAGTAGTCTGTTTTTGGATAGCCGCCCTGTTGTATGCATCAAGTAGGGCGATTCGGCTTATGGCATCACTAGACGGCCGATATGACATGACGCTATCTGTAAATGTGCCATTCATGGTTGTAGGTGGGATGGGATAATTTCAGGGCGCCCACACCCAGACAGGAGAACCATTATGGTTCTCGACGAAAGCCTTTGGCTCAAATCCTGACTACGGAGCAGCAGCGGTTGGCGTGAGACGGGAAGAGCAGTCTGCGTTTTTAAGGAGAAAGTCCCCACACACGTTGCGACCCCCACCTGGCGGTGTTGCTTGGAGCTGACCAACCTGGCATGACAGGCTAAGTGCTACATATATTCTCTAATATAGCGAAAAGAGTTATGGAGGTGCGCAAACCGCCACATCGCGTTAAAGACTAGTTTCACCGTGATTTTATGACAAGATTTCGAGAACTAAATCTTAATTTCTTCCTGCAGGTGAAACCAACCTGCACCGAAAAGCGGTGGTGCATCGAATATTGGTTCCATTCGTATTGGAAATCATGCTGGTTTCACCTTCTCCGGGTCAGAGGAATCAAAGGTACACAGTTAGATATTGGGACAGTTTTGGTACATGGGTGCCACTGAGTGCGTCAGTGGGTCGCGTTCGTTAGTGTCACCGATCATTAGCGTGTCTCCTCGGGTTCTCCGGTCACAAACAGAAACGATCTAACTGCGGACCGTTTGATGGGGGGGGGCACGCCATAAATCCCTAGCCCAAACTGAGCGGTCAGTATTAACAAGAGCAGTTTCTATATGCCCCTCACTTTGATCAACGCTATCCAGCTTCACGGCAGCACCAGCTAATGCGCTCACCGGGGGCAAACTAAAGGGTAAAAATGATCACAATGACAGAAACGTGATCTATCCAAGTTCTCACCTGCTCTGATCTAGAAGTCTGGATCACGATTCCATCGCGGTTGCGATAGAAACAGTTTTTCACATCCACCGCCAAAATCGCATTGGATTCGTTGAACTCGTCACCTTCAGTTAATGGTGGGTTTTTTGTAGGTGTTTCCAAACAAGCAGGTGCATAGCAGGACTCATAACTTGGCACTTGGTCGAAGGCACATTCGGTCTAAAGGAGATGGAAAATTAAGATTACAAAGAATCACATTTGTCTGATGAATATCGCCCTGAATACGGTGCAACGAAGTGTTTACACGCGACTAACAGCAAATATCACGGACAGAACGTCATTTTAAAGATGTTAGTGTGGTATTGGGGTGTTACGGCGGTTGACATAATTCTGATGCAGACTATAAGCATTTGATTGCACAGTGGTGGTTTGGGGAGGCGAGCTAAGTAGCTCCGCATTGGAGGCGGCAGCTGATAAATTAGTGCATAAATACAACACTGTCAGTGGACCGTTAAGTGGGGAACGGGGAAAGCTATGCATTGGATGCAATAGTTTGGATAAATGAGCGCCATTGATGGCGCGACTGGGCCATTTCTGACAATGCCTCTAACCACTGATGTAGCTCGTCTCGGGGTCCCCATCCAGGAAGACGGCAATGACCAGCGCAGCTAAGTTTGCCGGTAATGGCTTGTATACTTCGGTCGGCTGGAATACGCAGCACGTGACCAAGCCAGCGCAACCGATGCAGTGTGATCAGTTCATCTATCGAGGGTGAGTTATTTCTCCTGAATACCATTCGACGTACTTCAGAACTGTCGACCCGGTGTTCCCACCAGATTCGGGCAATGCTCCGAAGACATCGATGGTCAAACACTGAAAGTCTTTTGAAGTCCTCGGCGCGCAGCGGCCATATAGTCATATGAAGCACATCACAGCGCTGTAAACTCGACCCTTGACAGAGAAGCTCATGTCACGCCTACGCCACAGGTGACGTAGGTTCGCAAAAGCTGCTCTGGCCTTCCTAATCCGGATGGAAATATCATCTTTCGCGAGACCACCGGGACTGATACAGCTGCCCAGGTAAACAAATTTGTCTACTACCTCAATCGGTTCATCCGCAAGCATGAGGCTAGGGTTCGAGCCCATCCAGTCTTGCAGTAGCACTTTACACTTTGCAGGTGTGAAACGCATACCAAACCGCGAGGCAGAATTATTTAGATTATTTAGTATTGTTTGCATTGCCACGGGGTCAGATCCAAGAAGAGCTATGTCGTCTGCGTACTCGATATCTGTGAGCGGAGGCCCAGGGAGCACTTCGACCCCACAGGCATTAGAGGCTGGGAGTGCGTTTTTCATGATCGTAGCAATGACGAAGTTAAAGAGGAAAGGTGAAAGAAGACAACCCTGTCGGACACCACTTGATGTGGTGAACTCAAGAGAGAGCTTCCCGCGGGAGTTGGCGTACAGCGCCTAAAAGAGGGTCAAGAATTTATGGGGGACACCTTTGCTCCACAGACACTGCTATGTTGCCTGACTGTCCAGAGTCAAAGGTAGCCCTCAGATCAAGGAACACAACCATCGCTGGTTGCTGGAAACAGTGTCGCTGTTTCGGAATCTGTCGGAGGGTGAAGATGTGATCCATGCATCCTCTTGCAGGACGGAACCCAGCTTGGTTTTCACGGACCCACCTACTCGTGTTCAGTCAAGCTTCGAAGGATAAGGTCAGAGAGCACCTTCGACACCGCAGTCACCAGGCTGGCAGGTGGTTTTCGCACAGCGTTCGCATACCGTCGAAATGTCCCATTCTGCAGGCAGTTCGCTCCATATCGCACCAAACAGTTTTGTTAGATTGGTCATCAGGGATTCTCCGCCTTCTTTGAAGAGGGTAAGATAGAGACTGTCCGATCCTGGTGCCTCCTCACGTTTTAGTGAGGATACTTCGTGCCTTATTTCTCCTTCCGACAGATGACCAAGTTTTGTATTCCATTCGCCCATATACACTATCTCTCTCAATCACTAATAATGAGATAGCGACGGTAACGACAGCGGAAGATTTAGCCCAACAATGACGACATTGAGTCTGCGACCATTTGCGCTCATGATACATATAACTGTTCAAGTACGCTCAACGACCGATCTAATCCTTTCCATTTACACATTTCATAGGCAAGGTCTTGCGGAAATGCAGTTCATTTTTAGATCGTTACCACCAAGATCCGGATTGAGAAAGTGTATTCCACCTAAATGCCTCTTCGTGTTTTCTGTACTAACAATACATTGACATTTTGTCATGCAGATGGGATTTCTTCATACTTTAAATAAACCACTCAGCTAAACACTTCATAAAACTTCGGCATTGAGCATATAGGATGTCCGACCGAGGGATGGATAGCTATCAGATGGTCTGGGTAAATGTTAAACAATAAATGTGCCAACTGTCAGGTCAAAATAGGGAGTCTGACTTTCGCTTAACTACTTATTTCCGTAGAAAGGCATTACAAACAAGGGTACTACAGATCTAGCATACGAGTTCAAAATAAAGAGCCATTTTAATGCTGCTTTTCTCCTATGGTAGGTTTGGAAAGACTGCGATTTCGCTCCAATTTTCGGCTGCCAGCACAATCCTCACCTCCTGGAGATAGGCCATGGGAGTGTTTGCTGAGGATGAATAGCCATGTAAACGGAGATTGTGGTCAGCATTTTGGTCAGCATCCTGATTCAACGTGGCTCCAAATGTGCAGGTAAGAAACATAACTGGCGAGCTACACTTACCTTTACAGGTGCCGTTGAAATGGTTTGCGGAGGGTTGGTGCCAACAGTAGGACCGGAATCCTCAATGCTCGATTTGCTTCTCGCTGTGGAAATAAGCGGTTAGCATAGACAGATGTCCGATGATTGTATTTGGTACTGTCACATGAAAAATTGTGCTACATCAATCAGACCGATTCCCTACATATAGCAGTGATCCACTTGAGGCGACAGTAGTCAACCTGAGAAACAGATGGATGCATCAGGAATGAAACAAGGATTTGATCTACCTACGCTGCCTGTGTTGCCCTTCGATAGTTGTGTGAATGCCAGTGACATTGTTATTTGTGTTAAGCGGTATAATACTTGTCAACTTGATGCAACAGCTGGTTGGCCACATTAAGAACGTGAAGCCCTCCCCCAGTTAACGACAGAATTAATTCTTAGGTAGTGGAAATGATGTTTTATAGCTGTTGGCCAGAATTTCACAGAATATAGGAAGCTGAAAAGTCGAGGAACGAATAATTAAAGCCCTGAACGTAGCCGTGGAAAAAACAAGTGGACTGAGCAAAACTCCCAAGTGAGATACGAAAAACGGGATAGTGACTGTGACTGTGTGGACTGTGCACGCTAGATAGACCAGAAATGATTCTCTTCGGGGGCTATCCTTCTAAAAGTGTAGGCAAGCGGCGCTCAGTTGAGAGACATTATAGAGGCATTGTGGCGAAACTGAGGCAGACGGTGTGGATTTCGAGGTATCATGGATGCATCATAATACATGTACCATGAATTCGGAAAGAAAATGGAATAAGGAAGTAGTCCTCGCTCAAGGGAGGTTTGGTAAACAATAAGCGGACTTACTGGTGGGCACCGTTTCGCTTTTGACATAAAAGGTTCGTCATTCCAAGTGAATAAGCTACCAGACTGACCGAGCTTTAAAGCGGTCAGAGAACCCATCGGTGAGATTTCTTATGACTAGCCGACTTAATCAGTGCTGGATGTCTGTCGGAAGTTATCATTTGTTGGCTAGTGTTGAAGTAAGTTAGATGCCCACCAGGTATGTACGCTAGCGATGTTATTTCCACTCAGGTACACTTCAAATACCACCTGAGCTTTAGCTGCAAAAAAGGTTTCGATTACACATACAGCCGATTCGTAACGCTGAAATCCAAGTGTAGTTTCTGAGTTCAGAAATGCGTTTTAAGCGGTTCTTTTCTCACACATTAGCCTTAGGATTCCCAGTAGATATCAAACTTCGCTTGGTGGACCTGTTATGCGGAGAGAGGCTACGTGAAGTGGCAACCAATACTTTATTCCTCACTCAGTTAACATCAGTTACAATAAACAATACGCTGGATCTCAATCCGTCTCAATACTATTATAAAGGGAAGTTATCAAAGGGATAAAAACAGGATGGAAATTGATTTCACTCACCTGATTCCAGTTCAAACACCGAAAATACATTTTTCAGTTCGGTGCTGGCAGACGTGCTTGTGGATGATAAACGTTGAAAATCCGGATGAGCTTGGCAAAACAGTTCCATTCCCTCATCAGTCATGGTCTCTGTCGTTCGCATTTCTGTTGATAAACGTGGCAGCAATGCATCCAACCGATGGCAGAGCCAAGGCTCCCATTGTGTAGACAGGCGGCGACGCAACTCCATCACTTGGTCCACACAGCTATAGTAATAAACGGGTGGTTCAAGGGCATAGTCCACCAGGGGATTGCAACGAACGTAAGGAGCAGGTAAGCCAGTGGTATCGTCATAAGCTCCGTCTGCAGACTCTGGTAGTGATATTATCTCCCCTGAGCGCAGCTGCTGCAGAAAGTACTGCTCGATCCATTGAGGATCATATACACCTTCCATGAGTCCGGGGAGATGTGGTTCGCGTTGGGCGAAATTTACGGGTTCTCTGTAAGACAGTTAAAAAGTAGTGCAGCAGTTCTATGAGCAGGAATAAAAAGTGACAACAGTGAGGGAAACGAAAACAAACTGTTTACATTCTGTTATCAAAACAGCCCCAGTTGTGCTTTTCGGGGAAGCATGCCAACGTCCTATCCCTTATTTTCGGTTCTTAATTGGTTGTCCAATGAGATGAACTCACGGTGTTGTCCACATAAAGGATGGCAGATTAATAACCTTGGCAAAATAAAAATGTAGAAAAACGCCGACTGTCCACAAGACGATGAGAATGTGAGCTACAGTGAAATGCCGCGTTCAACTACAGTTAGTATTGTGGACATTCGAGTTTGGCTTCACGGGTTCACTGGGTACCCAGTAATGGAAGACAACACGCGTTAGTCCGCCACACTGCTGCCAATTATCACACCGATTAGGTTAGAGTGAACAGGCAACGCTAGTGTTCGGAACTAATCAAGAAGGGGAAACATCAGGGCAAAAGGAAACAATGATCTTAATCCAACGTTCCATGCTTCACTAGTAAACATCAGGAACTGTCATCTACATATGAAGTGGTCAGCACTCCTAATGGAAATGTCCACTTTTGGGTTTCCTACAAAAAAGAGACCAAATAATAATTCCACCAGTTCAGAGTTCATATTTGAGTTCCTTTTGCAGCAGAATTTTTAAGGCCATCACAACAGCAATCGCCATGGGCCTTGGATTGACTTATTAAGACACACCTCGGACTACTGGTGAGTAGGTAGAATGTTTTACCTAAATAATTGTCCGACGTTCACACAGAAGACGCTCACTGAACCATGGAAAGCGGAATATGATAGAATTCTTTTCAGAAAACGCACGCCATATAAACAGGCATTCAAAGCGATTTTACGAATGCTAAGGTCAGCTACTGCTGACTTTAGAATTAGAAAACATAGAGTAACACAGTGAGCCAGGATCATTGCTTTCGAGCGGGTCACTTGCAGGCCATTTCGAACCAGATGCTGGCACCACAAACACAGGTAAAAGGATGGAGAACGGAGGATTAGGACTGAATTGAAAGTCTGGTTTTGGATGTTGAGTGGTGAGTGGGTGGGTTTCGTCCAGTACATTCAGCTCAGCAGTGTGAGATGTCTTAACAGAAGTTGCCAAAGCGCACAAAGGTGGCTACCAATCAAGAACAAATCCGGCAAGTGAATTAGAACTAGACGGACCCCTGGATAGTCCAACGCAGTGGCTTTGGATCACCAAAATGCATAGCCGGAGGAGAGTGGAAAGTGGTGGGACAGTTGGCTCGACTATTGTGGTTAGAAGTTGAATGCTTTTTCGTGATAAACAGCACAATTTCAAACAATTCCAGTGTCTGACTAGCAGCAGCAACAACAACAACAGTCCTGCTTGCTTCAGAGTACACTTATAAGAAGCAACCGGATGAAGCAGGTGCTGGGACCTAAGCTCTTTGAAGTGACTGCTAGCTCTGGGCGAATGACATGAGGCACGCTCATTATGGTGCCACCTCACTGAGAATAAAATAGCTAATTGGGGAACCAGATCGTCTCTTTTCGGTCCAGAGAAGCAACCGGATGAAGCAGGTGCTGGGACCTAAGCTCTTTGAAGTGACTGCTAGCTCTGGGCGAATGACATGAGGCACGCTCATTATGGTGCCACCTCACTGAGAATAAAATAGCTAATTGGGGAACCAGATCGTGTCTCTTTTTCGGTCCAGGAGGTTGTTTCCTCGAAGTGTGTACCACTGAAAAAAAACCTCCGTGTCTCCGAAATTGTCTGCTCAATAGATGTTTTACTGAGTCCGGGATAGCATATGACAAAATAGCAATGACCAGCAGCTATCTCAAGGACAGTTAAACCTAGAAAACAAGAAAACACTAATGCAACTCCAAACGGGGGCGTCTTTGGAGACACAAATCCAACGGCAGTGACAGAAAGTACTAGGGATGGGCAAGAGCATTCGTCTAAACAGACCTAGCAGGGTTGATTTTTCCGAAGCCTATTTCTTCAAACCTGAGGCTGCTCTCATGCAATAATGGCATAATAACAGTAGTACTGACGTAGGTGAAGCTGGGAACCTCCATTCCACCCCCACATTCAGCCGCGAACATCAGAATAAATCGAAATATTCTAAGATGGAAAACTTACACCAGTAACCGACGCCCAATGTACCAGTAAACACGCCCGGCCCGATCCGTGCCAATCGGTTCTCTTCGATGAACTCTACCAGATCGCTCCTCTTCCGTCAAGCATTCGGAAACCCCAGTAACCTAAAAAAGAGAGTAGTAGACTGAAGTAGCCGTACCCCAACCGAAACAACTGTGTGGATGTTTTCAACAGGCAATTTGGAAGCTCGAACGGATAAGTATAACAGGATTCCTGTTTCCGTGCGCAGTCAGTCATACGACCGAACTGAATGTAATGGTGCACCTGCAAGACTATTAAGCAACCCAGTTCGTCTGCCGGAAAATTTCGATAAAAAAACTGGGAGATCTACTGACGGGCAGTCTCAGTTGTTAAACCAAATGACTAACCTACCAGACTGGTCGAGTTTTAAGACCGTTCCTTGGGAAAATGGGCGAATTCAGTTAGACCGAGTGAGAAACACGTTGTCCCAGGCAATCTAGCGATATGATAGTAAGGTCCATACAAGGTGCTACACGTCCAGTCTTTGAGGACCAAGCCGACTCCCACAGACACAGCAATGAGAAATTAAAAGGCGTGAAATTTACATGCGTTACGTCAGCTGTAATGATAGTTACTTTGTATTCAAATCTACCGGTCCGCACACCCTGCATACCATCTACGGTCTAAAGATGTTAATATCAAAAGCAATACTTCACTCTGGAGCAACTTATTCGGAGGCAAACATCAGGAAGAACCGAAATACAAGTCAGGAAGATACGAATTTTCGTAACATGCAGGATGGGTACCCACGTGTAAACAGAGGACGGAATAAACGTGAAATGTTTGGTAAAGGCCGCATCAGGTTACTATCAACTGGGGATTCAGCTGGGAACACATTCATCACCGAAAAAGGCACTCACTTGGTGTTTAACGCAAATAGGACAGAGCCAGCTACTCGAGGGAGCTGACTGTAACGGAGGATTGAGACACGTCAGATGGTATACAGCTGTGCACCCGTCACAACACAAGACGTCGCCACTTCTGTAACACATAAGAATGCAAACGAGATATTTTACATTTTTCGAGAAAAAACAGAGGAACACTGACTGGAAAAAACTTATTTATGGAAAAGCATCATGATCTACGTTTGGCATGCGGGATTGGGAGCAAGAAAACAGTTGCTTAGGTTTCCAGTGAAAAACCGAAGTCATTATCAGTTTGAAATTCTCCGTAGAGACCTTGCGTAACGATATTCAAAGAAGAACACAATCCTTTGAATCAGCCCTAACAAGTACACTACACTTCTTTCACAGGTTTACCTTTTCATCGAGTGAATGGAATCGGCAGATGAGAAGGGAAAGCTTAAACTGAACTAACTTCACTCCAGACGTAAAAAATCGACCATTAGTTACGCCCACCTAATAGCAACACCCAGTCACATTCTAAAAACGCGCAACCTTGTGTGTACAGAAACTTTTAGAGCTTCTTGTATGCCCTCAAACGTCTGCAAGTCTGAGAACACAAACATAGCATACCAACAAACTTCTTGGGTATTCCCGGTCGAGGAAGCGTGCTAAGCAGAACAGACCGGTCCAATAGGTCAAAAGCCTCCTGGAAATCCGGGGATGCCGTAACAAAACGCCATATTTAAGGGTACGGACAAACCGAAATCCCACTTGTTGTCCGTGATTCAAGGCTTCACGGGCTACCATAATGCAACGAGGGACAAGTGGCGCCAACAGTCTCGTTACGACTCGAGTCAAACTGAGTCCTGTGATCACCACATTCATTACTGGCTCCTTTTTTCCCAAGCTGGCAGTAGTGTTTACTCTTCCCAGTCTCGCTTTCCAAAGAGGGATATTGATATTGATATCGCAAGAAAAAGAAGCTAGTCGATAGTCGTTTCTCGCGAAAGCGATAAAGTCAATTCGGAGAAGAAAGTGTCCAATTTCGTTTGCCATCTCCGCCAACATGACTGTTACAAACCAACTCGAAGTTAACGGGTGGACAACTGGAACGGCAAATTCCTATTTGATAAATCCGAGTTTTGTGATGGACATGTTCATGTAGTCAATACCATTCGGAGAATTGGAAAACTAAAAGCAAGTGATCCATACGAGTAAAACAAGAGTACAGTGGTCTGATTCATCATCATCATCATCATCATCATCATCATCATCAAAGACAGCAACATCTTGGTTGGCACTGATGCTTCACTGCCGTACAGTAGTCTGATTTCGTCATGATTGATTGGCCTGAGTGACTGGCGGTCATGTGGACAGACCATGAAGGTGCGTCCAAACGTTTTCTGAGTGCACAGACTAAGGTTGCGTGAGCAAATTGCGGTTGCTTGAGCTGTGGGCAGACATCGATACTCTACGGATCTCGGTAGGCGTAGTATTCGGAAAGCATTGTTAGAATCAACCAAGTGACTCATGTAGACCAAGTGAGCGACCAATGCGCTAGTAATTGACCTCCTGGATGCCGCTGTCAGTCAGAATGTGTCATGCTCCTTTACTCTCTTGCACAACTGCAGTGTAGTGCGCCCTATTTGTATTGTTGCACAAAAGCAGATGAAGTTGAAGTTGCATTTCACTACTGTCATGAACGTGAGAACGTTGAACTCAATCACTTTTGATACATTACGCATCTTGAAATTTAATCGCTATGAGTTACGGTATTGCTCTTCTGATAAACTGGACAGCACTTACGCTGGAGAAATGAATCGGCCAAAAGACGGGCAGAAAACGGTGGTGGTGTAAGGCAGTCTGCTACTCCCTATCCCTGAGAGCCAAATCGGTCAAGTAGCGTTGCGGGAAGAAATTCAGACTCATTCAGTTAGACTCCGTTACCGTTCATGGCACTTAAAAATTGCCATCCGGTGGAAGGCTGCCTCTGCAATGAAACCAAAGGAACTTGCATTTTGCAACGTCGTACTAGAAATTGTCTGATAAATAGAGTTGGAACCTTTTGCGCTTTGAATTTGAGGAGAGTGAAATTACCGTTAACAGTGCGTGACACATGCAATTATTTGTTTTCTGATACCTCTCTCAGAATAAAAGCTAAACTGTCCAGCTGTAACACCCTTTCGGTGCCTAGCTGCCATGCTACCCCAGGGAACAGGTCAGATTAGTTCCCCTCAAGGACAGTGGGCAACAGGTGACACTCACCGAAAAGACCATCCTCAAACTGAGACTAGTTTGATAGTCAATAGTAATCAGTGTTTGGTGGATTAGTGTGTTTGTATTCTACTTATGGAGTGTTGAAACGAGGTTTTCACGCTTAAATTTCTTTTCAAATTTCCCGAACATTTAGAAAACTGTTCGGGGGCCAGCCGTCCCTAATAACAGAACATCACTTCATTTGGACGCATGTGTCACGTGCAGGACACGGGCCAGACGTAGGCATGCCCTGATTGGTCAGAATGCCAGCCAATCCGAGTCAAGCACCTTGACTCGACGGTTCTCGCCCCCTCACGGACATTCTGGCACGACCTTGTGGAACACTCTGTGACTACCCTATATATATACAGTTGTAATGATTTTCCTTTGTCTCCATAAAGGGCTGTGTAGAGCTACCGTGCCTTTTGATATAACATAGTGGGCGGAGCAGGAAGCCAAGGGACCGACACAGAGTTGCACTACCGTCCAGCAAGTTATAACAAAAACATTCATTGAATTTACCACTGACGAGAAATTCACGTCGGAGCAAGTTCTATGTTGATCTAGATTTCCAAAGATCTAGGTGCGAAATTCATCAAAATCGAAAGTCAACTTGCTCGCACTGGAAAATGTGTGGAGTAGAACAGCTACGTTGACGCACGTTGCATGGTTTACACACGTCTGAAACTACGTGACTAATCGACTACATAGTGATCTTAGATCTTCCTGAGCGAGTAGCCCAGGATTAAAGCAGAGGCCCGAAGATAAAGTTCCTTTCAGAAGTGATCGGTTTGTTTTTCATTGTTGTAGCAGCCATGCGTTTTGAGATGAGCCTAGCTAGACAATCATTTTCACGAAGCACGTTAGCTAGCGAGTGTAGTTCGGCTTTAAGCTTGCTTCCAGGGAAAATTTCTATCGTCCCGTCAACAAGACAGCAAACTAAAGTTCGGTTGTGCTCAGTGGGATAAACTTGTTGAAATTAGCGCATTGTCCCATCCAAGACGGTTTCCGGTAAGCCAAATATTTCATTGAGCCACGACTTGCTGTTAGCAGTTGTACTCCCAAGACATGGAAAGAGCCGTTATTCTCCCGTTTGGATGCTTCGTCTATCTATCGAGCTTCGTCAGTCTCCCTTTCAAAGAGGATCTGGTTGCAGGCTACCTGACTCGGCGTCTATATGACACACTTCGGAAAACTCTCCGGCCACTTCGCTCAAAGCACGATTCACGACAACTGAGGCGATATCCCTAAATCACGCAGATGAGCTGCCAGTTCATGCCCAAAACATGATAGCCTACACCTTCACCTGCTGTTGCTGTCTCAAGTTTGCTAACTTGAGACACCTATGGCGTCAGAATGGTTTATCCCTGAATCTGAAGGGACGTGTGTATCAAGCTACAGTACGGGCTGTTTTGTTGTATGGCTGTGAGACTTGGCCTATTCGAGCAGCGGACCTGAGACGTCTTCAGGTGTTCGAC